AAAGCCATGACACTCTAATATAGATTTAGATATATTTTTTCACTTACTGCAATTTTCAATCTCGTATTTGCTCGGGTGGGAAAACAAGGCAGTGCTGCATGTAATGAAATGCAATAGCACCTTTTTTTGAATGGCTGTACTTACTGCAGCACACTGCCACCTGGTGTTCGCTCTAAGGTCAGTAAATGTAAAGTTAACTTTCTTTCATGCAGCAAATTTAGATGGATTCATATATGGAAAATATCGCAGAACATGAAGGTTTTTTTTAAGATTATTACTACTGAAAATATTTACTCCTTGTTCCATGTATTTATAAGCTTTAAAATATTTAAAATTCACAAAAGAATATGCAAATCAAGGAAATTTCTGTATAAGATACTATAAAATTTGTGCTCTAATATTTCTTTTGATTGACCTACTATGAAGAATGCTGTACGTACAGAGTAGCTCACCTTAAACCTGACATTAACCAGTATATACAAGCAGGTTGCTTTGTGACCTACAACTCAGCTTTCAAAAACAATAAAGAAAATTGGAAAGTACCAGTTTGCATACACTGAGCATTAGCATTTTACGGGTAGTTAAGTGGTACCTTAATATAAATCACAGTTTTTTATTAACACAGTGTAACTTTAATGACATTGAAAAAGTAAATCCGTAAAAATTAACTACACCTTTTTTAAATTCTAAGGTTTTACGTATCATGAGAAGAAAGTAAAGTAGATGAATACATTCTCAGAAGAACAACATCACATAAATATTACAATATGTCATTATTTATGTAACATAAACTAAACACAGTAGCAGTCTTGTGAAGGAGACCTTTAGTGCTTCCATAGGAAGTGCATCTGTTAGCAGGGGGTGCTGCTATCAAATGCACTTAAATAAATGCCCTTCAAGTCGATTATACTACACTGAACACCACTAGTGGAAAACATGCAGGACAGTCTGTCTAGGAGTGGACATCCCTGACAAATTCACTCAGAGGAACTGAGTACTGCATGATGTCAGACTCTACAGCCCTCAAGTGGCATGTTAAATGTTAAAGTTCATGACAGTACGATTAGAAAATGATTAAATAAGCATGACTTGTTGGGAAGGGTCTACAGGAGAAAGCACATGTCAGCATAAATTAGGTTTACAAAGTTACATATGAACAAATCACAAGACTTCTGGAACAATGTCCTTTGTACAGATAAGACCAACATGGAGATGAATCACAGCACCACGTTCGGAGAAAACCAAACAGAGCATATCAGCACAAACACCTCATAGCAGCTGTGAAGCACGGTGGTGGAGCGGTGATGATTTGGGCTTGCTATGCAGCCACAGGACCTGGACGCCCTGCAGTCATTGACCATGAACTCCTCTGTACGCCAAAGTATTCAAGAGTCAAATGTGAAACCATTCTGACAGCTAAATCTGAAACTGGTTCATGCAACAGGACAATGATCCCAAGCCCAGCAACAAATCTCCAACAGAATGGCTTAAAAAAAGAAAAGAATCGAGATGATGAAATGCCCCAGTCAAAGTCCAGTCTGCAAACAAACTGAAATACTGCAGCAGGAGAGCTGTCTGCAAGTAAATGCTCACAAACCTCAATGAACTGAAACAATGCTGTAAAGAAGAGTGGGACAAAATTGCTCCAACAATGTGAGAGCCTGATAAAATCATACCAAGTTATTGCTGGTAGAAGTGGTTTTACAAGCTACTGAATCATGGGGTTTACTTAGTTTTTCACACACTGCTCCTGCAGTCTGGCTCAGTTTTTGCTATATAAAAATAAATACACAGTGTAACACATGTTGCTGCTGCGTGTAAATTATTTTATAATCTGCTAACGACAAGGTCAGTTTTAAAAGGATATCCTGATACGTAAAACCTTCAAATTCAAAGAGGACGTAGTTTCTTTATCACATAACTGTCATTCTTGGGCACGTCAGGTGATTCTGCTTCTGCACTTTTTGTCATTTTTGGTTTATTGAAGCTTTGATGAGACAGATTGACAGGAAATATGGGAATCAAGAGAAAAGGCAATGCCAGGTAACAATGCTTTTCTGCAACAATCAAACACAGATCACGTGAAATGGATTTCAGTCTGTCGGCTAACGTGTGCCCCAATTCACAGTTGTTTGAATAAGTAAAAACACATTTTGTTTGTCATGCCAACAGTAGATGTGATGCATGTGATAATAAGCTGGCCTCAAATTAATGGTTGGTTTATTTTCTCTTTCATCGTGACCAAAAATGTGACTTAATATCTTACACATTGATCCAAAATAGCACAATATTTCAAAAATGACCCACCTAATTGAGGTTTCTTGCCTTAAGTTATCTCACTTAATTATTTACTCTGACAATCTGTCAACATGCTTTTGAGCCCTGGAGGCACGGTCTGTATGCACTTGGATTTTCTGTCACATGTATGGAACAGCTGAACGCACAGACGATCCCCGCTAATCAAGGCAAACCCGTGAAAGCATGCTGTTATTTTTGCAGCTAGTCCCTGACGCACACCTCCTTGTCACTCTCAGTTACATACAGCACATCCAGACCACGCTTTTGTTTGGATGATCATCTCAAATGAACCCACCTGGGAACTTGCTGCACGACTGGGAGGGAACGATGTCGGCCTGGTGAGGGAGAAGAGGGGAGGAGGGCAAAGAAATGGACACGCCCTTGGTCAGTCTCTTCTGTTTTGCTGAGTTTTTGGTGCAGCCGCCGTCGCGGTCCTGGAAGTGAGAGGCACGCTGGCCGCTGCCTCTCTGCAAGGTGCTGTGGGCATACACCTCATCACCTGCGTGGAACGCATAGGCGGGTGTAGAGAGAAGACAGAGGTGGGCAGGTGTTGAGGTAAAAGCAGAGTTAGTGCAGTTACAGTAGATCTACGATATCACAAGAAGAGGATATGCCTATTAAATATGTCTCACAGAAAGCTGCGACACAGCAAACACATCGTGTCTCCAGGCATATTTCCCAGTGAGGTAATGGAAAGTTGGCATTGCCGGATCATCTATTTAAAGAATTGGGATCACGCTCATTAAACTGGCTACAGTTATTCTCTCTTAATACTTCAATCATTTTCATATCCACTCTTATTACAGCCTTTAAAGAGACATTATAATTCCCAAAGCCATGTGATTAGAGAGACTCACTTATATACTGATTATATATATCATTGCCATAGTTTGCCCTGTAGCAAAATTAAGCCATTTACTACCTTCTTCTTTGAATGAGTGTGTTTTACCACTAGCCAAATAAGTAGTCACAACTGCATTGCCTAATCTATGAATTCATCTATTATGCTGTTGCATAATCCCTGAAAGTGTGGAATGATCATAGCCTTGTAATGCCATCTTTAAAAAAGGAGGCAGAAAGTGGCATCTCTCTGCAAATGATCAGAAAAGAGCCAGTGTACTGTAAACACACTTTATCATTTTAATGAGACTGACACAGTTCTCTATCAGCCTCTCTGTTCTTTCTACCCAGTGGAACACACTATCAAATATTGATGGGCAACATGGTTGCTCTAATACCCAGCTCTACTTATGTTTATGTATCTCCGCAACACACTCTGGAATCACATCTTTACTGCAGCGAGTTGACAAGTGTACACTGTTTAAAAAAAAAAAAAAAAAATACAAACAGCTTCATTTCATCTGTGACAGAGAATCCTAAAGAACACTGAACTTATGTACAGGAGACACAACAGCCTCATGCCAAGTGCACAGATACATCTGCTGGACTCACAAATTCTTCTGGTGTTCAACGTGTGTTTAGTAGGTCAGGATGTTTGCTTAACCCACTCTAACTTCGTCTGACACACTTTAAATTCAAGCACCGGGACACTGTGTGAAGGACGGAACACACTGATGAATTAGGCTAATTGAAATGACTCTACTTAAATCACCCAAGAGAAGAGAGAACCTGAATATTATCATCAAACAACACCAGACTGAGTGTGCACAACATAAAATACATTTTCCATTTACAGTATTGTGACCCCCAAACAAAAGGGGCATTCAGTTAAAAAAAAAAATCTGCTAAAAGTTGCAATATTATTTTGTTCAGCATGCATGCGTCATTTTTGCTTCACTGGTACTTCCAGTGGTTTTGTTTCTACCTGAGTGCCTCTGGCTCTTTTTCTCCCCTCGTTTTCCTCCTCCATCTCTCTTGTTTCCAAAAACTGCTCTGAACATAGCTGGGCTGTTGCTTCACCGTCTACTGACTGTGGAAGGGAAAAAAAGTTAAATGTTCATTTGAATTAGGGGCACATTATTCAGACAACATTACCCCCGCTGTTAGTTCTTAATTCAGCTGCCACATTTAAATGGTGTTTTTATTTTAATACCATGATCTATATCTAGTCTTTAACACATAGTTTGCACGAATTATTATAGTAAGCTAGATATGAAAAAAATTAGTATCCTAAAATTAAGTCTCAGATTACCTGCTCTTAAGTCTTCTTTGATGCCTCCATGTCCTCACATATATCCACAGGAAGCTGATGGAGGAGCATTTAAACTCGCGGAGTCCAATTAAGAAGTGTTTCACCTCCAGAAAATGATGGGAGAAGGGGGTCGTCTTGCACATGCGCGTTGGCCCTGTGTTCCACATTTGATGGAAATCTGTCTATGCATTTGATATATCCTTATCCTATCTTTTTATGTTTTGTGTGTCTTTATCCCATTTTGATGTTTGAACTTAATGAAACATTTTTTTTTTATTTTTTCTTATTCGCTGTAATCTATATCTCTCATACTACGCCAGGCCAGCTAATAATAGTTTGTGCTCAAACTCATTGAAATTAGTTTTTGATAATTATTTTAAGAGTAGCCTAACTTCGTGTAATTTTCAAAGGAAGCTGGAGTGAATATCAAAGCAGCGCCCTCGAACATTACGGTAAATACATGCCGTGACCCATTTTCAACACCAGGGGACGACAGCGCAAATTACAAGTTCCTAACCGGCCTCAAGGGGGCGACAATGAGCCGCTACCGGCATCCTTTATAATCCGGACGATAACCTCAGAGCAGTCCTTTTGCTGCCTGTCCTCTCGTGTGTTGCAGCAAGTGAAGGGCGTTCTTGTGAACTTTATAATGCGTAACCTCGGCGGTTCATTCACCTTACCCGACATGACCTACTGTAAGTATATTCAGGCGCCCTGTCGAGTTAAAGAAAGCTAAGTTAATGACGTCTGTTGAGTTTTATGGTGAATCAACGGACACGTGTGAAATGAGCTCGAGCCATTTTGTGTCACGAGTTAGAAAATATTTTGTGCAAAATAATCCCGGCTTCTTAGTTTTACCCCAGACTAACGGCTAAGTGAGCGAAATGAGCAGTAACACGGGGCTAAATATGATGCCTCGTGCCATGAGAGAGAGAGCTGATTTTAAGAAGGGTTAATGGATACTCTTTAACGATACCAAATTTAGCATAGCACCGGATGTGCTCCATTATTGCTAGTTAGCTCATGTTAATGCTAACATGAGCTTTGTAACTAATATTTTCCATGTGCAAATCTGCTAAACCTGTTCTGACCTTGATTAAGTGTTAAAGCGTTTTCTAACGTATCTTTTGCACTTTTAAAGCAGATTATCCCGCTGGATGAATACCTGTATGAGCCAGCTGCGGATGACTGATGTGTTTCAGCATGATGCACTAGTGATGCCAGTAGCTGTGTTATTACATGACTTGAGACGACAGCTGACAAGCAGTGTGCGAACATGTATGTATTGAGTTTACATTGTAATGACTTTGCTACTGTTTAGTAAAGTGACCAAGCCTGTCCTCGGACCACATCTTTGACAGCCTGGGCTCTCTGCTGTGAGTTCCTGGGTTATAACATTTAGATGTAATATTAAATGTCCCTGCGCTTTCTGATCGCTCTTTTTCCATGGCGTCTCAGATTGAAGAAGGGAGGATAAACTGTTTGTTTTAACATGCCAGCACACAAAAACCTTCATTACATATTCTTGTAAAGAGACTGTAGCATGTATAATTTTCTATTTTTTTTCCTCCTTCAGAAGTATGAAGGATATGTATAAGGCATGGGGTAATAAAACCAGAGCTGTGAGAAGCTGATGAGCTGTGGACAAACGCTGAGAATGCTGGTGAGCGCTTAAAATGTTTTAACTGGGGTTGTACATGAATTTGCATCCACTGATAGACCTGGAGCAGACTTCTTTGGCTTCTGGGTTTGCATAGAGATGCTAAACTGAGCCTTCCTCGCGCTTTCTGACTGCTTCATTTTTATAGCAGTACAGATTGAATAGAGGAATACATTTTAAGCTTGTTAGGAATGGTCAAAGGTTGGGTTCACATGGGGATACGTGGTGTGACTTAACAGCTTTAAGTATTCACCCACTAAATACATTAATACCTGCACATGCTTTCAAGACAGATTTACAGGGTAGTGGTTTCTAGACAGACCGTGGTGGTTACTATTGACTGAAGGCATTGATGAGATCTTACTTTAAATTGTTTATTGTAGGATCGCTGATATCTTTATGCAGTTGGAGGTTTAGATTTTCTAATATTTTTATTTAATATTTTACCCCTTCTTACAGATAATGGGTGGGATGCATTGTAAAAAGCAAATGGAGCTTGGCCCAGTGGGACATCTTCACTTCCTCTGTTGCCAAAGAAACCGAAGAGCAAGTTTGTAATTGTCATGTTGTGGTTTCAGTGCTGCATTTATAGCAGGTCTTCATCTGCCACCAAGATTTGTGTTGTATAAACCTGACTACTACTACTTTTTTTTTTTCTTTTTTTTTAAAATTTAAATAAAATTATTCAACCGTATTTTCATGAGTACTTTTGTGAATGTAAAAGTTTAAGTCTGTGGGAAAGTATTCAACACTTTACAACTCCTGCCTCATGGGGCTTCATACTGTAAAGACTCTACAATAATACAGAAAACCGTGCATCAGTAAGTCACTGTAAAGTGACAATTAAGAATTTTTCTTGGATTATTGTAACTATAGTTGACTCTCTTTCAAAATACTAGACTGGTGGCTGCGCTGCCATATAGCTGAACTACAGCCATTCCCAAAGGCAGGTACCACCTGTCACTGGGGAATAAATTTCAATATGGGTAGTCCATGACAGTAATGAGTAATATCACAAACTGACCACCTATTACCAGTTTTATATGAATATACTGAATGCCTTTTACTGTAGTCCACACTGAAGTATAGCACTTCTGCTATATTTGTTAGTATTTAGAATAAAAATGCAGACATAAGTGTACATGTTAGTTTTTGATTGCTAGTGAAAATAATTTTCTTTACAAATAACTCACTGAACTAACACAGCCAATCTCTCAATATGTTTGTACTCTGCTCATATTGCCTTCTTGATAAATTATTTTTTTTATTTTTTTTTACACCAGCCAATCGCAAAATGAGTTGAGGCATTTAGGTATGCAGATTACCTACTGAAATTCAAACAGAAATGTGAAGTTGTTTTGTGTCTGTGTGTTAAGTGAAACTGCTGGTCCAGTGGGATGATTCTCCACAACCATCTCTAGGATTTACAGGTCTGACATCTTGTTGATGTCAGGAAAATGGCCAGACTACTTTGAAGTGATAGGAAGACAACAGTAACTGAAAGAGTCACTTGTTGTAACCAGAGAATCTCTGAATGTACAGCATGCTGAATTTTTAAGCAGACAGGCTACAACAGTAGAAGACCACAGTGGGTGGCTGTGTTGGGTCAATGCTGATTTGCCATCACTGTGGTTTCACATTTATGCTTTTGTTTTTGTATCAAGTATTAAGCTGGCTGCTATGAAAATATGATTAAAAAGACAAGTTTTCTATTGAAAAAAAACTTTATTGCATAAGTCGACCAAATATAAAACAACCTAAAATAATACAAAAGGTGGGTTATAAGAAGACACCTGGAGTAAAGATCACAATAAATTGTGGATCCAATTTGTTGTGGTGTGGAAAACTGATGAGCCATGTTTCATTGAAGAAAAAACAAAACAAAATGGACTTGTAAAAGAAACGTCACAAAAATCTGAGTGGATCCTATACCAATAGTAACACTGTTCCTCTTCTAAAATTTTTTGTCCTCTCCACATTAAACCCCATATTTCTGGATATACAAAACACTTAAAAACATTATCCACTGTTTTCAACCTCAAGTCATAGATCCTTTACTTCTTAAAACACTAATGAGCACACTCAAGCTGTGAAAGGGAACCACATCAGAAAAAGGTGGTGCATACTTCAATGCCTAACCTCTGATTTCTCCATAGTGCCCTTTATTTTTGTTCCTACAGAATGAGATGGGACTGCAAAACTCCACCTCATTGTCCAGTGCATCTTCAGACCTGATGTACAGAAACCAGGTCAAACCAAGCTCTGATCTAAGAGGAAATCCCTCCTCTGAGTGGAAAGCATGTATTGACCTTTGGATTCAAAAACTATTCATCAGTCTTTTCCTCGCCTTGGTAATGCCTGTACTCTGGCCTGAGCTCCCAGGTGTTCTTGTGTGTTCCCTTCACATTGTAGATGCCAATATCACGCAGGATTTCCTTCAAGTAAATCTGAGAAGAAAAACAAACAATATGAGATAATATTCTTGAGAATTAAAGCTAAATGTAAAAGTAGCTTTTTGAGCCAATAGTACTGTTTCAAATGAGTTATAACCGAGTTCTCAAGTCTTACCACAGGCTGCTTGGTGATATCCACTAAGTCTTTGATGTTGTAGTACTGATGCTTCTCAAAAGCAGAAAACAACATGTCCAACACTTGCTGCTTGTCAGCTCGGGCTCTCTTGCCCTCCTCCTTCTTCTTCCTCTCATACTCACGCTGCAGCAAAAACAGGCAGAAGTCAGCTAAACAACAATTATCTATTATCTAATTACTGCTCATGGGAGACTGATAATACTCTGGGCTATCGAAAAGACCATGTATCATCTAAATTGATCAGGTGTGCGACTTGGCAAATTTGCTTGTTGAGAATTTAAAGTTAGCCCCCCATAGCAACAGCTCAACTTCTATATACATTCAATAAGGAAATACTGTACAATATCTCTTAAGTGCTTCATTAGATCTCAAGGGATTAATTAATTGATGCTAAATTTATTACTCTGAAAAGCAACTTAAGCTGTCTAGAACCAAGAGGAAATACCAAAAGTACATGAACAGATAAACTGGTCATCAGTTCTGCTTAATGTGTTCTGAGGGGATTTAGACAGTAAGAGTCACACAAAGTGAAAAATAACACATCTTTTATATTCTATGTTGAAACAATGCTTATTGACTTGTATTGTAGCAGAGAGTGTGTCTGCAGCTGTTTGTTTGCCTCTGTCTGCCTTTAAGTTTAGTCAGAGAAAACTAAAGATTTAACAGCAAAGTGAGATAATATATAATTTGCACTCATTTTCTAAAAAATGTAGTAGATTTTCCTTCATTTTCCATTTATATCCATGGAAAGTCAACACATGTGAAAAGATTAACAATTAGGGGCCAGTTTACAGAATTTTAATATGAGAATAGGTTTTCCTTTTTTCATATTAACTGCTTTTATCTGTATGTTTTTTGTGATACTCCAATCTCCCGTATTTTGTTTATAATTAGAAATCAAAAATATGGGGCACTGATGAAATATGCATATTTAATGGGGCATGAAATAATCGTGCTGGGCAGTCCTATGTGAAGTGACATGTGGTCACCTTGTGTGTGAATCCTGTAGAGCATGTGGTCAAAAACAACTAAGAACATACTAAAGGCACTAAAATGTAACAAGAAAATTCTTAGCCAGATATTAGTTAATTGTGTCTCTTGCGTGAACTAAATCTAATGTGAAAAATGAAAAAAGTGAGTGTAATAATAAAAGAACAGATTTCTCTGTAGGGTTTCTTACATTGTAATCGTGGTTGGCCACAGGTTTATAGTTGTTGGTAACAGCTTTATCCAGCTGTTGAGACAGCCTGGCTGGTTTGGAGGACTCTTCAATTTGTAACCTGTTAGAGAGACAGGGAGAAGTACTTTACCTGCTAAGTATAAAATATAGATGAAACAAATATAAATGAATTTCTAGTAAAACATCCACATGCATGCAGTATTAAGACATTCTGATACAAGACAATCCATGCTATTTCATGTAACTCTAAGTGTTAAATGCTCACCTCTTCAGCCTCATATAGCTTTCACTGACAGCAGGCCTGCATTCTGCTCTCTGCACTACCACTCCCTCCAAGGTTATTTTATCTGAAAGAGAGTGCAGCTAATTAAAAAACTTGATACAGACTTTTAGTCCATGTGCACCGCTGCACTTGCGGCATATTTTTAAGAGAGAAGGGATAGAAACAAATGCTGTAAATTAATAAGTGGAAACAGTTTAGAAACAAGAAAGAAAAATAATAACAATAATCAAAGTGTTCTCTTTTGCTAGGTGCTGTATGAGAAACTACATCACAGTAGAATCCAGCATAATGCCATTGTTTGCGGACATGGAACCCCCCCCCAACAAAGTGACTTGTGGATACGGAGAGTATAATCCTAGCTTAAGTGTTAACAGAACTCCTTCCTGGTTTTCTAGGAACCCTTTGGTTATTTGATACCTCAGCCCTTCGAGGCAGCGGCTTTCAGTGTAGCCAGCACGTACCGTTTTCTAATGCAAATGCATAAGAAGCTAATAATCTTGTGTGCTCCATAGACTATTTATGTGCACAAGACCGAAGGCTGCTCAACCACTCTTACTCAAAATTCCTCAAACTACAGACTAAAAACAAAAAGCTTCCAGTACCAAAAACCTCTGCCACTTCTAATTAGTAAATATTAGAGTTTATACATGCACACGTGTTTTGGCCACACTTAATTCTTGTTAAATCACCACATTTCTTGTGCTTGTAGTTCTATAAAAACATTGTTTTTACATTGTTCACCAAGGCTCAGAATAGCTCTTCACTTACTGCTTTAGTTAGAAAAATGCACACATCTGTACTGTAAATAATCACTGAATCAGACAGGTTGGTTTTGCACCACATCAATCCACTCACATATGAGCTTTTGCATTTTACAATAAGCTCCTTCGCAATCAGAATTATCTTTTAAAACCCTTCTTATAGTTAATAAAGCCCTCAAGTGTCTATAACCCGATTAGGCCTGTCAGGTCACCACGTGCAGATCTTTAAACTATTCTCAGAATTACATCTAAATGTGCTGAAGTCCTATTACTGAGGTCTTATTCTTCGGACAAGCTGTCTGTTCACCAATAGTCAGGTACCACCATGTGCACATTTATAGTTTTTATTTTCAATTTATTTAAAATTTTATTTCATTTTGACGTTTTGTTTTAAGTACAGTTTAGATTCCTGAATGGATTTTCTTTTTTCACTTAACTTTTTATTGTTTGAAATCTCTTTGTTTTAGTTTAGTTTTTATTAGTTTATTAGACAAGACTCACAAAATAATTTCAGTCAGTTTTATTTTTTTTCCCTCCAAAACGTTATTTATTATTTCAGTTAACTAAAACAATTTTTCCATATCTAGATTTAGTTTTTAAATTCACTTAACTGTAATAACAATTGTTTACATTAAAAAAACAATTATGAATTTGAATTATGCGTCTGCAGGAAATCTGGGCTGTAACTTATGAAGCAACTGGAAATTCCTTTTATCCCTACGCCACATGTCAGGTAAAGACAGCCTGCCACAACTGAGTTGCAGTGATGATGGTTAAGAGGAGTTTTCTGCTAAGTTGTAAGTTACTACGTAGGTTTCTTCCAGAAGTCTAAATCATGCTTTACACTTAATAACTGTGTGTTAACTTCTGTTTTATTTTAT